CTGGAGGGGATCCAGGACAGAAGTTCAATAAACCAATTTAACCTAAATCAGTTAAGTCTGATACTACATCCATCCAGGTTCATCTTAAACCAGTTTTGGCCATTTTGAAAGCAGTTTATGTGCACTGCACTTCTGTTGTGTTACGGATTTGAACCAGTTTCTGATCACTTAAACCAGAGTATGTGTAAATTCTGTCCGAATGCACAAAATAGTCAATATTTTATTTCAATAATACTACTTTTTTCCTTCACAAAATGAGTAATAAATTGGATATAGTATCCATGAAATTTAAAGTAGCCCAAAACTTTTAAAATATACCTTAAGCAGGAGCATCTTAAAGCATAGACGGCTTAGCACACTGTGTCATATGCTGCTTTGTAACAGGCATAAATAATTATTATCATATATCAATTTGCAGGTGGAAATAAAATGTTAATAGATTTGGGTTTTGGGAGAAAGAGAGAAGAACTTTGGGACAAGTAGAAAATCTGAGCTGTGCAAAAGAATGATCAGCTCTACTGTTGCTGTGTTAGCATGTTCCTTACCACTGACATTTCAACTAACAGGTTCTGTATGTGACATCTCAAAAAAACACAGAAGTATAGATACTGCAGATTCACTTATTGCTGTTTGCCTTTCAAGCATAGCATTTCAAGATGCATCTAAAATATCACTCTTCTCCAATATTCTGATTGTACATAGAGGCATACTGGAATTATATTAAACGAAGTCCTGTCTAGCAATGCATAGTGTCCAGTGACTCTTGGTAACTCACAACAGTGGCTGTCGTTTCCAGAAAATCACAGGTGCTTTAAACTGGGATGCTTGTATATGTATTACTGGCAGACAAATGAAATGTCAGTTCTAGCAGACATCAATACAATCTTATTACAGTTAAGTCTAAAAGCACTCAAATCTGTAATTAATATACTAGTTGCTAAGATCTGTCCAAGAAAGATGACTGAACAGAACAGAATGAGACTGCAATAATGATTACACCTCAACTTTGAGATGTTAATTAAAAAAATCGTTAGTCTCACAAAGTAAAATATACCTTACATTTCCTGTGCTGCATTACAAAGCATGACATGAATTCCTTCTTTCCCTACTAAGTAGATTTTTTGTAACATTTGTTTCCATCCTAAAAAGAAGCAAGAGTAAGGTATTCTGGGCCTAATCCTGGCAGATACTCAGTACTCTTAATTCACTGGAAGTGAACGGATACTGAATACGCTGAACATCAGCTTGAGGTATTCATGACACTGAATACCTTACTCAATGTTTGCTCCCAAACTTAAGATGTCATGAGCACCCACAGCTCCTGCTTCAAATCAATGGGAACTGCAGATGAGCAGCTGTGCCGTGGATCTGGACCTTTATGTTCCAGTTGCACAAGAGCAATTAAATGTTGTCTTCATATGTTTTTGCAATATACAAAAGAGCTTCAATAGTCTTTATATTTTTGTTCCTAGACTACAAAAGCCAGGAGATATTTTGATCTCTCTGTCTAACCTTCAGAATAACAGACTGTAAGACTTCCCTGAATTAATTCCCATTTCTACTAAAATGTATCTTTGGGAAAAACATCTGCTCTCAATTTAAAAGCTTCTAGTAAAGGGTAACTACAAGGAAGATGCCAAGTAAGCTGTTCCAATAGTAAACTGCACCAAAGGTTTATTACCATCATTATTAAAAATATTAGCCTAGTCTACATTGGTCTCTTTACAGCATTGGATTTCACTATACCTTTGCATACAGCAAAAAAATCTTTTGATCAAATTTCTGTTCTTCATACAAACACTTCAAGACTAATCAAGTCATCCTTTAAACTTAAGTCTGAGAAGCTAAAGAGTCTGAGCTCCTTCAGTGCCAGTTTTCCAAACTTCTAATAATTTTCAAATAGTTTCCCCACTTGGAAGCACACCCTGGGAATCCCTCTGCAGAGAATTACCTGCGGGCTCATGAACTGCCATGCCCCGACTCAGAACAATGGACAAAATCTGTGTCACCCACTGAAGTGGATCAGCTGTGCCAAGACACAGCACAGCTGATCCTGCTCCAAGGCTGATGATGTCTGTTTATAGCCTCAGTGCCACTGGTTCCCATAATAAAGCCTCGGTCCTGAAAGGATGGCCTATACCTTTGTTTCTAAAGTTATAACCTTCTAGTCAGTTGTACTATTATTATTTTATGTTTTCTATCTTTTGGTAAGTCATAGATAGAAATACCAAATAGCATAATGCCATACATGACACTTGATATCTTATTTTTATAGTAAGATTCATTCATTCAATTCCTAATTAATAACAAGACGTATCAGTTAAGACTGCAGTTTTCAGCAAGTTTTCTGATGATTCAAGATGAGATTACCTAACTGCAGTCTAACAAGCTCATAACTGTAACATTTTGGTTTTAGATGCCTTCATAATTTTACTTTCTCTGCAGTATCAACAGTAGTAGAAAATGTTTTATCTTTATTGTAGATGCATCTCAAACACACCAGGAAGCAAGCATGAAAAGCAAAGAACATCCCTTGTTGACTATTTCAAACCACTTGTCATACTGAACAGGAATGCCACTGAAATTTATTCCATCTCAGTGCTCCTGTCTTTTGCATCTCTTCTTTTTTAACCAATTATATTGTGACAATTATTACTGATGTCTTACTCCTGTGAACAGAATTAGAATATCTTGTGGAGATTCCCATTCCATCTTTTTTTTTAATAAAGGGGAAAAAAAACTTGTCTTCAAAAGACTTCTGAGCAGGTTCTAATACCTTACACTGTTGAATAGCACTCTGTTCTGCAAGTAAGGCTTTGGATAATGCTAGAACTACTTGTACACATAAAGGTTTGCTAAGGGGACTGTAAGGTTCACAATCTAACACTTTGTTCTCCAAGTTAAGACTCACCTTCTTTCAGGGCTTTATCCATGTTGTGAGAAATCACCACTCTTCTTGATTGCACCAATTCATGCGAGTTTCCAGACAAGTGACTCTGAAATAAAGAGAATATTTATAAAACAGAAGTTGGTGGAATAAATAGTGTTAAAGAACCTAAAAATACTACTGCATCACTTCAGACCTGAGGAAGGGTACCGGAGTACTCAAAAGCTCATCTTTCTCTCTCTCTCCCACAGATGGTCCAATAAAAGTTATCACCCATAAAAGTCTTGCTTCTCCCATTTTTCCCCCCGATCCTCACAGCTACAACATAACCTCAGCACTACTACTGCATCACTTGCCCTTTACATAAGTCACTGCTTTACTTATATACACACAGACATACATACACACACATTCATGAAACAATACATATATGAAACAATGATCTTCCCTATAACGGTGGTCTGGGCACTTCAAAGTAACAACCTCAGGAAATACATGGGTTTAATTTCTTTGATTAGCAAAATGTGATTTTTTTTTAATTTTGTTTTAACTGAGAAGGGAAATCATCCTTTATTTACAATCCCATAAATCAAGAATAGGACACTTGGCAGGTCCAACACCCTAAACAATTAAAAACATTCTAGTAAACAGCAGTGTTTTTTGTATAGGTTCATAAGATCCCAACAAGCAGATTTAATGGATCAGCAGTTCATTTGGATACAAAGAAAAATGTTTCACCTTGCTATTCTACATCAAGAGGCCAGTAGCAATTACAAAACCTTTGCAGCATTCTGTTAAAACATGTTTCATTCAGCTCAGGGAAGTATTTTAAAATTAAAGTGAGACATTAAATTTTTTCTAGAGCAGTGGGTTTTAACCTTTTCTCATTTGTGGACCCCTAAAAAAATTTTGAATGGAGGTGAAGACCCCTCCAAATCATAAGTGTAGGTATTTACATACTTTTGATTGATCACAGCCATCTTTCGTGGGCCCCTGGGGTCCACAGCCCACAGGCTGAAAAATCAGTTCCAGAGTATACTTCATGACTAGTCCAAAAATAATACTAGCCATAAGCATCTATGGACCACTGATTTTTAAGCTGCCTTCCTAAACGGATATTTGAAAATACAGTATTACAAGGCATAAGAACAGATGAGTATATGGAGGAACACTCTCCAAAGTGTAATTCTAATGGTGTACCAACAAGGGATAGATAAAAGGTGAAATTTCATCTCTCTCTATATGTAAAGCAGTTTTAACTACAGCAAAAATAGAATGTGCCCAAATTACCATCAATCCAACTTAATTCTTACTGATATGGGACTGGATCAATGGCAAACCAATCCAATATATATTGATTGGAGTCCCCATATCTATTGATAGGAGACTGTTTATGCAGGGATAAAAGAGAGTCTCAAGTTAAGGGAAGTTACAATGGTACAACTTCTTCATTGTTCAATATCTTCATCAGTGATTTGGATGAGGGGGTGCAAAGCACCCTGTTCAAGTTTGCTGATGACACTAAGATGTGGGGGGATGTGGGCACAATAGAGGGGAGAAACAGGCTACAGTTGGACCTAGATAGGTTACAAGGATGGGCGGAGGAGAACAGGATGGGGTTTAACACAGACAAGTGTAAGGTGATGCACCTGGGGAGGAACAATCGGCACCATACATACAGGCTGGGGAACTCCCCTCTTGTCAGCACGGAGGTGGAAAAGGATCTGGGAGTCATTATTGACTCCAAGATGAACATGAGTCGGCAATGTGGGGAGGCGGCTAGGAAGGCCAACTGCACCTTGTCGTGCATCCACAGATGCATCTCGAGCAGGTCCAAGGAGGTGATCCTCCCCCTCTATGCGGCACTGGTCAGGCCGCAGCTGGAGTACTGCATCCAGTTCTGGGCGCCGCACTTTAAGAGGGATGTGGACAGCATCGAGAGGGTCCAGAGGAGGGCCACTCGTATGATCAAGGGACAGCAGGGTAGGTCCTATGAGGAAAGGTTGCGGGACCTGAACCTGTTCAGCCTTCAAAAGAGAAGGCTGAGGGGGGATCTTGTGGCCTGTTATAAACTGGTTAGGGGGGGATCAGCAGGCGCTGGGGGAGTCCCTGTTCCCCCGAGCGCCGCAAGGAGTGACCAGGAACAATGGTCACAAGCTGGCGGAGGGAAGGTTTAAGTTGGACATCAGGAGGCGCTACTTCACGGTCAGGGCGGCTAGAGTCTGGAACCAGCTTCCAAGTGAGGTGGTGCAGGCTCCCACCCTGGGGGTTTTTAAGAGGAGGTTGGATGACCACCTTACTGGGGTCATTTGACCCCAGTGCTCTTCCTGCCATGGCAGGGAGTCGGACTAGATGATCTGCTCAGGTCCCTTCCGACCCTAGAAACTATGAAACTATGAAACTTCTAAATATAGAAAAAGATTCAACCCTATGTTGCAGAGGACACGTTAGAATTGTGTGACCAATAGATGTTTTGAAGGGAAAAAATAGCGATAAAGTGTTTCCTATGAATTAAGGCCAAAATCTCCCTTTCACATAAACAAAAATTAAAATGACATCCCTATTAAAAAAATACCCAAATGCTCAGTATCTTCTGATATGAAACATGACTATCCTTTTATTAAGATATATATGCATAAAGTTCAGCACAATATATTTCTAATAAAGTTATGATCATAGCATTCAGGTGCTAGCATTCTAACAATAATTATCAAAAAAATTATCAAAAAATAATCAATTAATAAACCTTACAGTATTTTGGAATGCCCTTTCATCTAAAACCTAAGACTGTCAGGACTACTAAAGGTCACGCACAAGAAAATGATTTCTTTGACTCTCAAAAAAGCAGCAGGTTCGGACAGCTGAGGCTTTTCTGAACACCCTCTCAAGCCTGAAAAATATTATTGAAAATATCTGAGAATTCTGATTTGTTATTTTTAACAACTCATTTCACTAAACATCCTTCACAAAAGCAAATTTATAATGCTGGACAGGATCTCCATGCTTTGTTTACAGAAGGAAAGTAAAAAGAATCTAAAGAGAAACAGGGGGAGTGGGGGAGGTTCTTAACTGCATAATATTTACAATTTAAATAGTTCACTTAATTTAGCAGAATAGGACTTGGGGGAAACCTAGAAAAAAAAAGTTATATCAGGTCTTTTTTCTATACCCAAAGTTACAATACCTTGTTCTCTAACACATATACTCATATATATCAGAAATTTCCACTGGGTATGTTTTCCTATTCTAAAGTAACTCCAAAGAGCAAATGCCAAATTTCTACTTCCAAATACAATCTAAAATAATAAAACTATAAAACAGAATTCCTACTTTTTCCCCTCCATTCAGTGCCTCCTCTTTACAAGCAGAAGAAAGAACATCAGATAAATCCTTTAAGAGGAGAGCCGTTATTGCAGCTGGAATTGCTCCATAGCTCAAGAACAATAATCCAATATACCCAGTCTCATAAAGTGAGTTTAGCTCACAATTTGATCCTTTTATATTTCAATCTTAAAAATCCTCTGCTTAGACACAAAAAGGTTATGCCTCAGTACTCAATGTGCAGTATTTCAATGAAATGCAATCTTACTTTTCAACTTACGGAAATGCATTTTACGAAATTTATTCTACGTTATTTGCAAGGTTATCTTCTGAATGGCAACAAGTTTTCCACTTAAAATCAAACACAGCCAACCAGAAGGGAGAGAGAGTGATAATCAGTCAGGAAGACATCTGAACAAAAAGGAGCGACTGAAAGAACTCAGGTAAGGAATGAATACAGTAAGTAACAATGATGATAAAAGGATACCTACATAGTGATAAAATGTACAATTTAAAGGACACAAAGTAAAGGCATTGGATCGAAGCTGCATGTGCTGGATTTTCTGAGACATGCTGCATAGCAACACAGGAGGCTGTGTAGGTGATAGACAGGGCAGCAGTGGCAGGTTGAGAGTAAACAACTTCAGACGGGCAGGGAACAAACAGAAAAGTAAAGTAAATCTTAGCTCAGCTATTTTTACATGCAACGTTCGGAAGACGGTAGGGTGGAATTCTAGTCAATAAGTTAACATGCATGTTTATTCATATTAGCAAGAAATGCTTTTCCATTCTTACCCTTAAATGAGATTCTGCTATGTGCTGTCTTCATTATTTAATACGATGAAGCAAAACTTAAGAGCACATCCACAACAAAGCAGGTACTAATTTTGATACCAAACATCAAACACAAAGGTCCCCAAACATGACAGATAAAGGGTGCACAACCACTGAAATGTTACCTTATTTTTTAAACAAGAACAGTTCAGCTCTGCTGGTGTTAGCAAAGGTGGGAGTTGGCATAGGCACTCTTGGGACACTATGATAAAGAAGCCAGAACATATCCTAACATCAGCACTGATATCACTGCTAGCAGAGGTCAAAGAGCACCCACTCTAAAGCAAGAGTGGGAGGATTTTAGAAAATCCACAGCTCAGATACAGCCTTAGAAATCCAACAGAGTGAGGAACCCAACACATGCCGCTACACTGAACAACTGGTAACGCCCATGAAAGATGGACAGACATCTGTAAAAATTTGTTTGAGGATGAGGGAAAACAGGAGGGAAATTCAAAAAAGCATATGGTTGTCAAAACAGCAGCTTCTCTGATACAGATGGGGCTCTTAAATTTCTCCTACAGGAGTTGCTGTCAAGGTATCTGCACACCTCTTTTACAGAACAAAAGGAATTTTGATTGTCAGGCTTCACCTGGAGAAGACTTACTGTCTTCTTGGATGTTTTCAATTTTTTCTGAATGTCACTTACCTACAGGAAAATCATGCTGTATTTCCTGAAATGAGAGAAGTCACTCTCTGCTTTAACAAAGATGCTTTTAAACTGACAAACTACTGTAGTATGAATTCCTTTACATGTAAGTAGGCATCATTATATTCAACAGACAGGCTAAAGCAGAGATTAAGACCATCTGTAGACTCTGTGCACTGGAGCCACCTACCTAAATCTTTTGATTAAACAGGTGCTTCCTCTCCTCCCCAGATCATTGTTTCCTGTGGGACTCATTGTCCCATGACAGCTCAGATAGCCCCAACCTGCATAAGCAGGAACTCTGT